GCTTCTCATCAAAAAACCACAACTTGACCCCAAAGATCTAGTTAATTACAGACCGATCTCGAATCTCCCTTTTCTGCAAAGATACTAGAAAAGGTAGTATCCTCACAATTATATTCCTTCTTAGAGAAAAACGGTATCTGTGAGTATTTCCAGTCAGGATTTAGACCGTACCATAGTACTGAGACTGCTCTCATCAGAGTAACAAATTACCTGCTCTTATCATCTGATCGTGGTTGTATCTCTCTATTAGTGCTACTGGAGCTTAGCGCTGCGTTCGTCACTATCGACCACAACATTCTTTTGGACCGAAAAACTCTGCATGTAATAACCTAGAACACTCTCTAAGACTCGATGGCTGCTCTGTCAATTCTTCGTCATCAGTTAGGAACCTAGGTGTGCTATTTGATAGCAGCCTGGAATTGAACTGCTGGTTTCGTCTGGCCAGAGGAGAACTGCCCCCCGACTGAGCCTGGTTTCTCCCCAGGTTTTTTTCTCCATTCTGTCACCGATGGAGTTTTGGTTCCTCCGGCTTGCTTAGTTGGGGACACTTATTTTCCAGCGATATCGTCGACTTGATTGCACAGAGACTATTTAAACTGAACTGAGCTGGATGACGACATCACTGAATTCAATGATGAACTGCCTTTAACTGAAAATTGAGTGTTTACTATTGTCATTTTGCATTATTGTCACTCTACTTTCCCATTTAATACTGTAAAGCTGCTTTAACACAATCTGTATTGTTAAAAGCGCTATATAAATAAAGGTGACGACTTGACTTTTTCATACAAATACCTTTAAACCATTTAGTTGTATTTTTACCATGGTATTGAGGTGCTATATGTGTGTTTATTTTAACTTTTAACTGTGTTTATCATGATTTAAATGTATGCTGCTATGGAAGACCAATGGTTAATAAAAAAAAAAAACTATTTTATGGTTGCTACAATTTTTACAGATGTTACGGATTTTAATAATGAACAAAAATTTAGAATCTGCATCCCAAGTAATTCAAGCTACTATCAAATGTGGATTTCTAAGAGACAAAAAAAAGTAATATTATTATTAATATTATCAGGCAACACAAACCTGTTTCTTGATTAGAAACAATATCACTCATTAGAACATGCAGAAACTAAGAAATACATTTTTCTATTAAGATATTTATTTTGTTAAGGATAATTAAGGAACATCTTTCACTTTGGAGCAAAAACCTGGCTTTAAACTTGAAAGAAATAAGAGATTCGACATTTATCGTGATAATTAAAGATATCGACTGATATGAAATCGCCCAGCCGTCATGTTATCTTGCATTCGGATCAGGGTTATTATAGTTAACAAAAACTAAACTCTTACTTAAACTTCAACTGTAACAAAATATAAAAACGTATTTATCCAAGGAAACATTTAATTTTCATATGGTTTAATTTTTTTTAGGTTAACAGTTTCAGTAATAAAACTGAAAAAATAAAGACAAAAATATGTTACACTATTACAACAACTTCAAGCAAAATTACGTTAATATATACAAAATAAAAAAAAAAGACGCATTTGGTAAATGTGTTTCCATCATAGTTTAAGAGCATGTTTTTTTTTATCAAATAAAAAATGATCCACCTCAACTGATTGCATGTTTTTTTTCTGCATACGTTAAAGATTTTATGCACATCTTGGCGTTTCCATTCAGGTTTTTTTTTTTTATGTGATATTCCTAAAGAATTCCTGGATGGAAACATAGCTAGTGTCACACGACAAATCTGACCTCTGGAGAAAACACCGGATTGATTTTATGAGTCCTCAGATTCGTCTCATCCTCGCTGTCACTGCTCAACACGCCTGAAACACAGAGACATCACACATCAGTCCTGAAACACCTCTGTATGAACACTGATTTGTGCTGAACCACAAAATCTGAAAGCTGAATAAATGAGCTTTCCATTGATGTATGGTTTGTTAGGATAGGACAATATTTTGCCAAGATACAACTATTTGAAAATCTGGAATCTGAGGGTGCAAAAAAATCTAAATATTGAGAAAATCATCTTTAAAGTTGTTCAAATGAAGTTCTTAGCCATGCATATTACTAATCAAAAATTAAGTTTTGATATATTTACGGTAGGAGATTTACGAAATATCTTCATGGAACATGATCTTTACTTAATATCCTAATGATTTTTGGCATAAAAGAAAATCTATAATTCTGACCCATACAATGTATTGTTGGCTATTGCTACAAATATACCCCAGCGACTTAAGACTGCTTTTGTGCTGCAGGGTCACATATCATAACTATACGAGGAAAGCCTGTAAACCTGTGCATGAGGGCCGGCGCTGAGGCGTTGTGTGTGCGGATCTGAGCGCTGATGGACGCGAGCGCGGCTGATCTTCTGCTCTTCGGCCCAGTGGAGGCAGGATCGTGTGGTTTGGTGTGGAAGCGCTGGGTCTCGTCCTACACTGATCTGAGACCAGCGGCGATCGCTCAGATCTCAAGAGCGCCAGGTTTCCTCCGACCGGAGGCGCTTTCACAGCTGATGCAGTGACGTCTGCTGCTCCCAGATCAGTCGGTTCCTCCTCCTCAGAGTCAAAGCCCAGCTCAAAGTTGACAGAGAAGAAGTCCTGCGAGTAGAGATGTAACGGAATGAAAATTTATCACGACTATAGTGACCAAAACTATCACGGTATTGTTAAAATGTGCTGGAAATGTTCAAAAAGTACTGACACATCAATCACTCCACCAAGTTTTACATTTAAAATCAACAAACAACAAATAAAATGACTTTTTGTTTGCATAAACACTAAAACAATAACATTAGCAATGATGTCTGGATTTTAAACGACAACAGTTTATCTAATAACATGTACGAAATGTTCAAATAAAACATTGAAAAGGTTTCATAAAATGGTAAACCTTAAATTTCATCCTTTAAATAAAGAATAGGGATAAGTCAAAATGATAATTGATTAATAAATGATAATATGTATTTCATATGCTCCATAAATAACTCTAGATACCTTATCCGAATTGTTTAAGTGTGTAGAATCCACATACGTTTGTTTTTCAACAACCGGTCAAAATTGACAGCAGGGCATGCAGATTCAGTCCGTTTTTAGTCCAGACAGAAACTGCACACAGACTGAATGTGAGTCTCTGTAAATCCACTCTCTGACAGCAGGTGGCGCTCATGGAGCAGCAGAATTACAGCTGTTTCCCGTAAAGAACACTAGTTTATTAGCTATTACATGGAGCGAAGGTGAAAACAAAATGCCATCCAATCTTTTCTGAAGACAGTCAGAATCTTCAGAGGTACATTCATGTAATTGATTCATATTAATATGTATAATTAAAACCTCCCAGCTTTCCTCCATGTTTTCACACAAAACGAAACTAACGTTACTCTGCGTGTTGTGCGCACCTGTTTTTTTTTTGTTTATTTTTACTTTCTTAATACCAGACAAAATAATGGGATGGAATAATGATTTTTTGAATGCTCAATACACCTATTGTAGCCTACCTGAAAATAAAACACTGTTTATTTTATTTTATACTATGTGTATTTGCAATGTGTATCTTTGTTCTAATTTTTTAATAACAAAGATAAAATAATGACAGATTTTTATCTTCACCCACTTTGGCCTAAATAACTGCCATACTTTTGTATATTTTGTTACCTTGAAAGGCTTTGTCTTTATAATAGGTAAATTAGTTTGGCTGTAATGCTCAAACAGCTTGCAAAACAGAAAAACCAACATGACAAATAATCGTCATAAAATCGTGAATCATGATATTTCTAAAAAAAATCGTGAAATAAAATGACTTTTTGTTTGCATAAACACTAAAACAATAACATTAGCAATGATGTCTGGATTTTAAACGACAACAGTTTATCTAATAACATGTACGAAATGTTCAAATAAAACATTGAAAAGGTTTCATAAAATGGTAAACCTTAAATTTCATCCTTTAAATAAAGAATAGGGATAAGTCAAAATGATAATTGATTAATAAATGATAATATGTATTTCATATGCTCCATAAATAACTCTAGATACCTTATCCGAATTGTTTAAGTGTGTAGAATCCACATACGTTTGTTTTTCAACAACCGGTCAAAATTGACAGCAGGGCATGCAGATTCAGTCCGTTTTTAGTCCAGACAGAAACTGCACACAGACTGAATGTGAGTCTCTGTAAATCCACTCTCTGACAGCAGGTGGCGCTTCTGGAGCAGCAGAATTACAGCTGTTTCCGTCCACAAAGCATTGCGATTAAAAAACTACTTTATTAAGTATTACATGGAGAGGAGATGAAACAAAATGACATCAAATCTTTTCTGAAGACAGTCAGAATCTTCATTCATTAATTCATATATGTGACACTGGAGCACAAAACCAGTCATAAGGGTCAATTTTTTGAAATTGAGATTTATGCATCATCTCATAACTTTCTTCAAAATCTTTCCATTGATGTATGGTTTGTTAGGATAGGCCAATATTTGGCTGAGATACAACTATTTGTAAATCTGGAATCTGAGGGTGCAAAAAAATCTAAATATTGAGAAAATCATCTTTAAAGTTGTTCAAATGAAGTTCTTAGCAATGCATATTACTAATCAAAAATTAAGTTTTGATATATTTACGGTAGGAAATTTACAAAATATCTTCATGGAACATGATCTTTACTTAATATCCTAATGATTTTTGGCATAAAAGAGAAATTGATAATTTTGACCCATACAATGTATTGTTGGCTATTGCTACAAATATACCTGTGCTCCAGGGTCATGTATTCATTTGCATAATTCTCTTAGCACTCTTTTACATCCTCCCAGCTTTCCGACATGTTTTCACACAAAACTACACGACTCTGTGTGCTGTTTTGTTACTCAAAACTTTGCTGGATAGAATTTATTTATCCTCAGTTGTTCAAATTGCGGTAATCGAATACGGTTTTAGTGATAATTAAAATATGAAACGGGAATTTTATCATGATTTATGGTCAAACCGTTAATCGTTCCATCCCTACCTGTGAGCAGTTGAAGTCCTGCTCGGATCCTCTGCTTCCGTCAGCAGGAGCCTGCTGCTTTCCTTCAGGTCCTGTGCTCCTGTCGGGCGTCTGAACGTCAGGAACACTCATCTGAAGGAATGCTTCATCGTCTCCGAACAGGTCGACGCTCTCGTTCAAGCTCCCCTGGTCTTCCTTTGGCTCTTCAGCGTCGTCAAACAGCTGGTCCCAGCCTGGAGAAAGAGCATCTCCTGCTGGTTTCTGATCCACGTCACGCTCCTCTTCAATAAACGACGGCTCGTCAGCGATCAGGCTGAACGTCACTTGAAACGGATCACCGAGTGGTGGATCACTGAGGTTTGTGCTGATCTCTGGGAGATCAAACTCACAGTTCTTCGGTGGAGATCTGGACAGGAGATCTTTGACGTTGGCGAGGATGGTCTGAAAAGCTGCGGTGGTCAGATTGTGACGGCAGCGTTTAGGACAGAGTTCAGGCTGATAGAACATGTGCTGAAGATCTGAGCTCTCGTCCTCCTGAACGCAGGGGTCTTCTAACAGATCAATCAGATCCACCTCGTTCCCGGCGCTCGGATTTAAACACTTCTCTGTGTTTTCTGCAGACGTCACAGATCTGCTGTTGTCCTCTCCTCTCTGATCTTCACGGGTTTCGTCTAAGCAGTGGTCAGCATGAGTGAGTCTCCTCTCACGATCAGCCGTGTTTAGTTTAGTCTTCTTCTGTCGAGTGATTTCGTCAGCGTTTGGTTTTGTTGTTCCTCCAACATAATCCTCTTTCTGCAGATGCAGCATGAGCTCAGACTCAAAACTACAGTCGTCCTGTGAGGAGAGACGCAATCACGTAATCACTGCATATGTGGATATATTTCTATTAATATATATTTAATAATATAAATCTACAAATAATACTAATAAATATAAAATACATATTTTAATCGGCTGTCAGTCTATTAGGGCTGTAACGATTCACTCAACTCCCGATTCGATTCGCGATTTTGATTTCACGATTCGATTCGATTTTTTTTTTTTTTTAACAAAATGAGATTTAAGACACATTATAAATTAAATGTGTCCTTTTTTTATTGCTTGGACA